TCTAGAGGTGGCTCGAGAAATTTGCTAACTGACGGTCCAACAAGTCCGACAAATGAGTCCCGGAATAAAATCCATAGTGGGTTTTGTCGTGAATTTTATTTTCACACCACCTCCTCCTTCCCCCCTCTGGTCGCCGATTGCGCCGCTACGGCATAGACCCAAAGCAGCTCAACATTTTACCAAGAGATACATAGGCATAGGAATTGGAATGTATACCTTATCTATATGAGTTGTTTCAGAAGAGAAATTTGGAGTAGGAATCACGATTAGCTCCCATGTGTTGCATACGAAGTACCTTAGAACTTTGAAGGATTTCAAATGAAATAATGACTAAAATAGATCAAACGCGGAATGAACATACCGCAATCGTGCTTATTAGGCCTAAAAATCTTCGGTATATTTGAGTTATCTAGGACATTTAATTCATACCCTTTTATCAAACAGCATACGTCAATGAAAATATTAAGCAAATTGAAAACAAGGTTTTATGAAGGAAGTATAACTGAAACATATTCTGTTCTACAGTAGCCTATTTGATTAACCTCTGCTCTTGTCTTAATCTGTATTTTTGCAACAGCGCCATCAAACAACGAACGAACGTAAATTACTGATAAATAGTTTTTAACATTAGTGTCTTAGACATTGTTTTACCGACCAATCGTATCAGCCTTTCCATAAATGAGTTTTAAATTAGGTTTATAAAGGTAACAGAATGCTATCCGCTGATTGGTGGAGAGTTGGCACACATGGTATCCAATGAACGACAACCGTAACACTACACATGACCTCGGTACTGTATGGCCTTAAACTCGTTATGTTTTAATATTCTTAATATTAGGCCTAGTAATCGAGAGCTTACTTGATATGACATAGCCTGCAGGCTTACTCAGTACTTGGTTCGGACTAGATTAGAGCTCAAGACGAATTGACTCTGACTTATCTTCAGGCTAACCTATAATAGTTTGCAACCATCTAAATAATGTCTGCACTTTGATCGACCATCATAACCACCATTGGCGCAAAACGCGTTTCGACGCGCCCTATAGGTAACGCATGTTTCATTGATTTCAACGCAGTTTCATTCATCACTCCCCTTCTTATTATATAGTACTTTTTAAAGATTCATAAGTCACTTTAGATTTGTTGCATCATATTATTATTAATTGCTTAAGGAGTCCCCATTCGTATTATAGTTACTAGTGTTATATATTCATTTATGCAAAATCTATATATATAATTTCATTATTCACTTTACTTCAACGATATAAATTATATGACATTTGAAAATTGTCTCATGTTGTACAGTATCTGTCGATTGTGTATTGTGTCGAATATGCATTTATTTATTCTTTTCTTTATTTCTCATAGAAATTCATACTTATTGTACTTCATACTGTATTTTATGCATAATATTTATCCTATATGAACTGTCTTTTTTTTTTTCTTTTTTTTTTTTTGGTAGGCTAGTTAGATAACAAAACAATTAGAGTGCCTGTTAGTAATGTTCTTGCTGACCACCGGTTAACAGTGGTCTCAAATTGCAAGAAAACAGTGCAGCGGTTTTGGTTCCCTGCACTAGTTTGTTTTTGTTGTTTTTATTTTTTAGTTAATTTTAGGATAGTCTGTTCTATTTTTCTCTGTTCTTTGAATCTCCTGGTTCCTTTTATCTGCTTTTTCTTTCAGTTCACATTACCATAGTTTCCTTAAAATCGCTACACTGTCGCTACAGTGTTTTCAATGAAATGTTGTACTGCGAAGCAGTCCCCGACGTCATCGGGAAGGCTCCCCGATTCGGTCGAACAATCAGTATCACCGTGTAGCAATTGTATGGAAACCAAGCTTCACTGGAACATGGCGCTTAGAGACCTTGTTTTTTTTTGCCCCTTATAAATCGACCTCTATTATTATTAATGTTACCACAGCAGTTTAAGACGTGATACTAATAACTGTAATGTTTCTATTATTATCATTATTATTATATCTTCTTCTTCTTTATTTTATTTTATTTTATTTTATTTTATTTTATTATTTATTTATTTATTTATTTATTTATTTATTTATTTATTTATTTATTTATTTATTTATTTATTTATTTATTTATTTATTTATTTATTTATTTATTTATTTATTTATTTATTTATTTATTTATTATTATTATTATTATTATTTATTTATCATTATTATTATTATTATTTCCTTTTTATTTTCATATTAAAAGAAATCAAAATAATATTTATAATACTATGTGTTAATGTCATAATATATGATGATAATCATTACAATACTACATCATGATAATAGTAATACTTGCAATACAAATATTAAAAACAGTCATAAGGCTAAGAGATACTCGACGTCATACAATAATTATAACAACTGAATTTCACAGCAATTAACCATATTCCCAATTCTCAGCAATAATCTACACTGATTTCATATTGTGCATTGAGATATGAAATGATGTGATTGTTAGGCAGGCGTCCGTTGACTCTATTTGCTAAGCGTCAGACTAGTCACATAGTCGTTGCCGGTTTTTGAAAACGAGTCCGAGTGCCGCTGACTACTAAATCATCGCCGTCATTATCCAGGCCTTCGAAACTAATTTCTTGCCAATAATTGATTCCGTTATTTCAATTCTCATTTATGGAAGAGCGATGCTACAGAACATGTCTGGCAAATAGAAATTTACTCAGAGAATTTGCTTCTTTACTTATTCATATAGACCTCTCGTTTATATCCATTCTATAGTTTAGTGTCTATAGATTTAGTGGAATTGAATCAATTGTAAATTGTCACATAACCTTTCAAGGAGAGTAGAGAAAACTAATTTACCCAGCATTCAACAGTGTAGTGTGTCTCCAGAAGTAATTATCCTTCTCAGTACTGGAGGCTTATATTTATCATTTGAGGCCTATTACTGTAAAGTACAGTTAATGATTAAATAATAATAATAAAACTTACCACTAAAAAAATATAATCATATATCCACCATAATTATTATAGTTTAATAATAATTATTGTTATAATTTTTAAAAACAAAATATAAGGTACAATTATCATGATAATATAATATTTATTACCTATTATATATTTACAATAACCATTATAGGACTACATATAATACTTACAAAGTTATTATTATTTTAATATAATAATGATTATAAATGTTATATCCATATATATTATATTTGGTTATATTTCAGCCAAGTTGTTACTCATATGTATTTTCTTTTAAGCTTCAATGTCTATTACTAGTACAATATCTAATCTGACAAATTGTGTGTACTGTAATACATACCTGTATTAACAGTGTAATATATGAATAGGTTATTAGCTATTTTTGTTGTTCTTACTTCTGCCCATAGTCTTTAGGCAGTTTAAGCATTATTTATTATTTATAAATATATGAACTATGATATTATGGTATTATTTATTTATGTGTTTTTGATCCTTTGGAAAATAAATTTCATTTACTTCGTATTTTGACATTAAATCGAACTTGAACTTGGATTGACATTAAGATGAACTGCCATAAATTCTGATCCTAAATAGACCGTTCTTCCTTGGATAGAAAATTATTTTAAAAACATTTGTGAAGCCTAACGACGAACAAGCAGTGATGCTAATGATGATAATGATGATGAGGAGGATGATGATGATGATGATGGTATATGATGATGAGGATGATGATGATAATGATGGTAATGATGATGACGACGATGATGGTGAAGATAATGCTGATGATGACGCGATGGTGATGATGATGATGATGATGATGATGATGATGATGATGATGATGATGACGGCGATGACGCGACGATGTCGATGATGATGATGACGACGATGATCATAATCATGATTGCTCACTTGAATTTAAGGTCAGATTATATTTATGTAGTTGATATTGGGGTAAACAAGAAAAGTAAATATTCCACCCACTTAAATAGTAAGTCTGTTAGAAATGATATTTTAACAAAACTGACAAACTATATATCGGTATAATAGTCACATACCATTCAAATAGGCCTATACAAATTAAACTTACACTTACGCTAGTCTATACGAGTTAGTGACTGCAGGTCTACTTGCGACAGTTTGACAGCAACGTAATGACCTTTACGGAGTAGGAATCGAACGTAACTGACCAATCAGAACAGGGCCAGCAATACGCGTATGTCCCAGAAACACACACAAATTTACGTACGTTTAGGCTGTCGTTTCCGGGGGGTATTCAAGGGGTGGGGCTTATAATGCCAATGCGCTGATATGTGAACTAAGGCCTGGGTATGGATTTCTGTACTATCATTTACTATTACTAACTCCAACAATTATATTCCATCCTTTGAAATAACAGTTTTATATTACTTTGTTATGCAAATAATGGCCATTTCTTATACGACGATAAAGTAAACACGACAACTACTATTCAAAAACAGATACACTGACAGGGAGCACAATACTTAAATAAAAACATGGGGGTTTTTTCTCTTCGAAAAATAGTCAGTAGAAACAGGTTGGTTGAATCAAAATGCGTGTAAAATTGATATTACGCACAATACCACCATTATTGGAACGGCGGAGCACTTGCGCGAGTGCAGCCATTTTAAGACGAAAATGCACACATGCTTTTTGGCGTATTACTTATATTAGCACTGTGTCCTTCGAATAATTCTATGGTAATGCCGTATATGGTAAATATTATCTTAAAGAAAACGTTGTGTAAAATCGACTCAAGATGTGTCTAATCATGTAGAAGTATTGTTAACTTCCGTTTACAACCACGGGGGTCGATATTATTGCACCCTAGATTGACATTAGTAAACAAATGTAAATTCTGAAATTGACAACCGTTCACATTCGTTTACATCTGTTAGACTGACGAGGAAATTATGACGAAGTAGCTGCTCCCCCATTATAATACAAATTTGTTTGACACGGATCTACATGGGCCTTGATAATCTACAGGGGGAGATAAAAATAATATTAGTTCTTGTACTCACCGAACCTAGCGTAGTAAAACAGCGCAGTAGAAGGCCGATAGGCGAACGCACCTGCAGACAACACTGGGAATGGACCAAATACCCTGAAAGTTAAATAATGAGTTAATTTAAATTCTTTTAACCGTCAAAATATGGTGAATACATAAATAAATATACAAATAAGACCAATAATCTATGCATATGGATATTTTTAATTAAATTTGAAACCCAAATATTGATTAAATATAAGAGGTCATCGCCAGGACAGGAATAAGTTAGTAGTGCTATTATATATGCGCATCCAACATATTTTCTTTCTTTTATTTTTGATTCATTCTTCACAACCAATGGCAGCCGAAGTTGAATTTCAGCATTGTATTTACAAGCTTTCCTACATTATAATACAATTTAAAATATTGTACAGCAATAAGACCATTATTGTAATTACAACTACAAGCATAATTACAAAAATTACAATTAATATCAATATAATTACCAAAATTACAATACCAGTAACACCATTATTATTATTATTATTATTATTATTATTATTATTATTATTATTATTATTATTATTATTATTATTATTATTATTATTATTATTATTATTATCATTATTATTATTATCATCATTTTTATTATTATTAATAATATTAATATTATTATTATTATTATTATTACTATTATTTTTACTAATATTATTATTAAGGCATAAGGAAAAACACACTAAAATAAAAAAAAAAACGTCAAAGCGTAACCACTAACATAGCAAACAGCAACAAATCAGGGATATAAAACTGGAAAATTTCGTAACAGTAACAAAAGAATAAAAGATAGACGTATGTCCAAAGAAAGTAAAAATAGACAAAAATAAAAGAAATAATGAAGAACAGACCCGTGAGTCTGCGTCACGCAAATATAAGTAGAGATGTAGGTCATCGCCACGACACGAATACATTAGTAGTGTTATTATTTATATGCGCATTGCACAAAAGAAATAGATGAATGTCAAAATAAAGAAAAATAATAGACAAAAATATAGCGATTGAAGACCAAACCGGCGAGTCTTCAATTTATCTCTTTAGCAGGTGTCCCAGGTCGGAAGAGTCTCCCGGACATCATTCCGCAATACCGCGAGTAAAAAAAAAACAACCCAGAAACTAACCTACCTCCTATAAGTTCATTGTTAAAGCTCATTAATCTAGACCTACCGGAAGAGGGTTCTCAAGCTTCAGCTAGATCTAACGGAAGGGAGTTCTCAAGCTTCATCTAGATCTGCCAGAAGGGGGTTCTCAAACTTCATCTAGATCTACCGGAAGGCGGTTCTCAAGCTTCATCTAGATCTACCGGAATGGGTTCTCAAACTTTATCTAGATCTTTGCCGAAAGGGGGTTCTCCAAAATTTGGACCCCATGCTTAAGGGTCAGTACAAACAAACATAACATTCACATTTAATGAATTAGGCCTAGCTGAACTACTGAGTTCACATAATATTTATATATACGACCGTTCTCATTAATACAATTATTTTTAAGATTATTTCTGGGGAAAAAAAGACTAGGCTGGATGTTTGCTGTTGTTGAAAATTACATTTAAATAAAAATAGTGAAAGAAGTAATGAATGCTTTGTGGTATATTATCTTTCAGATGGTGAAAAAACGACAGAAAAATACCAAAAAATATAATTGGTTGACTAAATGACAATTTGGCTGGTTGGTTGATTGAATTAGGTTTATTTCTGGGAAAAAAAGACTAAGCTGGATGTTTGTTGTTGGAAATTGCACTTAAATAAAAATAGCAAAAGAAGTAAATGAATGCTTTGTGGTATATTATCCTTGAGATGGTAAAAAAGGACAAAAAAAACCCAGCAATATAATTAGTTGAGTAAATGACTGTTTGGCTGGTTGGTTGATTGAATTAGGCTATTAAGATAAAATAATATTTTAGATATGTAAATAAGGATTGATTGATTGATTTTGATCCTTTGATTTATTTGACTCATCGTTTCGATGAGAGTTATATTAATATTAATTTTTTAGTCAATTGATGTGGACAAATTTTATATTTCTAAAAAATAGGGGAAAAAACATAAATTATGTATATATTTTCGATTTACCTATGAATGAAATAATGATATTTCAACATTAGTATATTTATTGCTTTATCCTTAATGATCATAAACAAGAAAGTGCTTTCAATAAATAAAGAAATCATATCATATATGAAAAGGTTGGTTGATGTTAAAAGTCATACTTACGTAGGCCTATTAATTTTATTGATGATGTGTATTGAGTGAATGATTTTACTGTTGTATTGATGGTATATTGATGAATAAAGTTGGTGGTTTACCACAAAAAGCAAATGAGATGGCTGTTGAACCATCGGCATATAAATCTGCTGAATATCCTGCCAAACATATACATCATCAATGTTTGATACAGTTGATTCTTATTACATCTGATACTGTCCCTCAATGCAAATCATTGCTGCTTGTTGTTTAGAAGAGAGCAAGCCTTTCAACATGTTTATTAATAAACTCATCAATGAATCGCGAAAGTAGATCGAATTATTGCCAAGAGGATGATCCCTGATATCATGGTAATAACATAGACTTTCGTTACGACTTTCAGACCTTAAACTAACGCATGCAAGCGGAACCCCCGGCTAAGGTGTTCTTTTTAGAGTGAGATGTAAAGATTGTAATGACAGATCCTGAAGGAAGAAAACTATTTCCTAAGCCCCTACGTACAGGGTTTTTGGTGATGAGAACCATTTTGCCGAGAGCAAGATTTATTCAAGCTTCAGACTCAGTTGTTAATGGAGGGGTAAACTTTAGTCCTGGAATATTTTTGATGGAGTGGCCAGTAATGTAGGATGGGGTAAAGTTTGGTATTATTTATTCAGGTTTTGGTACAGTAAGGTACAGTATTACCAAATAACCCCAGAAGTGATTCACACGGTCGGGTTGGTAGTGGCGCATAATCAGTATGGGGCGCTATAAGTTATTAAAAAAAACCATAAAAACCTCACAGATACACGAGCATCGATCTACCGTAACGCACATGATGAAAAAGCGTTCGTAGCTGAAAAATGCTATCCTCGACTAAGAAAATGTACATTTTTCATTTTAAGTTTAACGGACACACTTTATTATAAAAATGTGCCGCTGTTGTGAATTGCACGTTCAAATAAATAGTGTTATTATTAGATATTCAAAGAGTAGTTACTTAAGGCTAAGTATGTATGCACATAATAATTCGTATTTAGCAACATTTAATATTCGTCAATACAAATACAATATATATGGTCGTGCGGACGGTGTAATTTGACTGAAAAACATGCAATTATAATTACACAGTGTTTAATGAGTTTATAAGACCGTTTTCTCCAGAAGATAACGTCAAAGTAAAGACACGCACGTTTTATTAGGCCTGGAGTGCACGTTACCGTAACGTGTACATTAAAAAGGAGTAAATCCACTATATATCCGGATACGCGGCTATACATCGTTGTTAACAATAATTGGCCATTTCATACTCAGGCACTTGGTTTTAATCAACCTCTGTAATTAATTACAAAATAGGTGTTTCAGGGAAACCTGTCGTACAAAGTTTCTTCACGACAAAAGTACGATAGGTCAGTGAACTTTCTGATGTTATCTATGTTAATAAGTCATTGTGTAAATTATGGCTAGGTATATCCAACACAAAGAATTAAATAATAATTATGAGTATGGATTTATAAAGTGCATAATGCTTAAAGCCTCTATGCGCAAGACCTTTGTTGAGAGTTTGAATCCCTATGAACTAACTACTCATTAAAAAGTCTAAAACAGTTTTAGTAGCTAAGGGTGTTGTTTAGTTTCATAAAAGAAGCCACTAAAATACATAGATCTTGAAGGACCTATGTCAAAAGCATCTTCATTTGGAAAATAATGTTCTTAGTTTGATTTTTTTTTCATAAAACAGAGTTAGCGTTCAATGCCTTTATCGACATTACAACTAATAATGATGGTTTGAATGACGTCACGACAATGGCTGCCGTCCGATGTACCGGTATTCCTTGACAAAATAAAGACGTTGGTAAGTCTGGATAAGCTTTCCTAACTGATAGAAACCTTCGTCGAATAAGAATGCTCAAATGCAGGAAGATCTAAACACTCGATTCCAGCCAGCACACTACTTTCTTAGCGCCAACGCTTTGGTCAGTGTGTTACGTATAATAATATGTTATTATAACTTAAACCGTGGCTTAAACCTACAACTACATCTAATCAATCAATCAATCTGGCAATCAATCAATCAATTAATCAAGAATCAAAAAATTATTCAATCGATCGATCAATCAAAATCATTTATATAACGCCGGTATCCATAACAACATTTTACAATTTGTTTTATTGACAATGAGTACAAAGAGGCCTATGCCTTTCAGTCTTTTCTCCAATATTCACATTTGGGAAAGTTTTAGTTTGTATAGAAATAGCGTAATGTCTACTGCTCTTCGATATCCAGCATACTTTTTCAACGGTCAATATATCTCTCTGAGATAGATCCACTAACATGCCCTCAAATAGTGACCCAATCTGTATCTATTCTATTATATATTATATGTTTGTATCATATATCAATTATATATAGGCCTATATATCACATCTAGATGTGTATAAGAGACAGGATAAATACCTATTTAATATAATAACAGCCAATCACAGAGCGGACAGACCAGCCAATAAGCAGGTATAAATGTCGGATCAGATATATGATGGCGTAATTAAGCCCACGAGACTGGAACGCAAAGCGTAAGTATGTCCATATCAGAAATACACAATAGTTGGTGTAATTGTATCGAATACCCATTGGCTTGCATTACTAAAGTACGGACATAAGTGGTCTATGATAAGCAGTTATGTATTCAATACACACCACTTACGTTATCATTGTTCACGGGATCCAGTACAGTTACCTTAACAAATCAATACTTTATAACATAAATACTTTATTATTACTTGATCACGTTTGGAATCGAGAAAGATTCCAATCGAACACAATAGGTCTTGTTATCATCTTCCTAATTATGTATCATCCACAAACCATTGGTTCTC